CTGAATTGTGTTCTATTTTTACCAGCAGTAAAACCTTCATTTTCAGTCTTTAGTTACTGCTTGATTTAGAAAAACATGTATACAATTTTGTAAAATATTTCTTGTTATTTCAAAAAATGAATCAATAATGTTTTTAATTTCATAGTAACATAAAAATAGGTTTTAATTTACTTGTGAAGTTTTTACAAAATATTTACTAGCCTACCAACGACTGAATAATTCTCTTTTGTTGTTGTTTGCACTCTAAGTAGTAAGGACAAGCTTGTTAAAATGTGACTTATTGGTTACCATTCAAAAATGTCTTTGTAATATTGAGGGTTAGTCTTAGTTTAGAAGAATGATATCCTAGTTCCCATGCTGTAATTCCAGTTTCTCCATCCATGTATTGTTTATTACCAGGAGATATGCTTAGCTTGATTATAGAGACTTTTTGATTGAAGGGTTCACTTTCATAACCATAGCCTTTAATTTGTGAGTGAGGTCATTGAGTGTTGAAAAATAACTGTTGGTAACACATATATTTCAGACTGTCCTTTGTCAGGTTAAGTTTTTGATATAATAGAAAGTTTGTGCATAGACAGTGCAGTGGACTTGGAAAGAAAATGAAATTTCTGGTGAAACAGTTTTTTTCACTCTGACGTACGGGGAGACTTCATAATCTACTTTTTTACAAACACACACACACACACTGAGTCTGGGTAGCATTTTCTAAAAAGTTGTTGAAAGATCATTACTGTGACTTAGTTCACCAAATCTTCTTGATTGTGATGTAAAATTTATCAAAATGATTAGGCAAAAAGTAATGGGCAACAAATTTTCATCATAAATCAAATGGATAATTTCTTATCAAAGTTTTTTTGTGCATGCACTTAATGTAGTACAGAAATGAAGCTGGAATAACTCTTGAAATACCTGTAAGATGGTTCTACAAATAATTGTGTTTGATGTCATAGAAACCTGCCATGTTTAGGTTCAGCTGAAATAAATAATTTTCAGGTTTCATTATTATTATTTTTTAATCTGTCTCAGGGAACTGAACCATAACTCAGCCTTTAATGACTAGATCACTAAAACACTGGATAATCTGGAACATTACTTTGTTCTCCAGTGCTTAAGTTTTTTTATATCAGGATGTTGTGGTGAATTATAGAAAATAAATCCTGAAAGGTTTAAATTCTCTGTTTGTTTTGATTTCCAGCTAGTAAGAATAGCCAAAGTTTTAGGGACAGAGGAGCTCTTCGAATACCTGGACAAGTACCAGATAATATTAGACCCCAGGTTTAGTGATATTTTAGGAAGGTAAGTGTTATGAATTGAATTTCATTGGAACCTGTAACAGTGTTTGTGAGTAGTGTATCTTAATTCCTAATGCACTTTACAGAATGGAGTAGGAATGTTAGACATTTTCCTTCTAACCACTAACATGATTAGAGGATCCTTTAACTTTTTCCTAAGTGTTGTTTATCAGTTATTTTTGTTTTTCATTTGGTGAGTCATTGCTACTTCTTTTCTTCAGACATTCAAGGAAAAGATGGGAGAGATTTGTCCACAGTGAAAACCAACACTTAGTCAGTCCAGAAGCACTGGACTTTCTGGACAAACTCTTAAGGTACGACCACCAGGAGAGGTTGACGGCCAGAGAAGCCATGGAACACCCTTACTTCTGTAGGTGTCAGTCTTGCTTGTAAAGTAACTAATAATGTGTTTATGTGCATTAAAAGTAGGGATTGCTTTTTCTGAATCCTAGAATTCTAAATCTTTTATTTATTTTGTTCTATTTTATCTGAATTTTTTATCTTAGTTAAATAATTAAAAAATAATGTGAAAACAGGAGGTTTGTAAAACTTTCAGCATTTGCACATATAGCTTTGTTATTACAACCATTGTCTTACCTTACGATTGCTTGAATCAGGTCTCATATTACAAATGTTGATATATTTTCTGTGTTTTGTTCTCCACTTCTGGTAATTTAAACATGGAACTATTTCATTTTAATGACTATGATGTACTTAACATACTTGAAAATAAATAGATATGTTATGTAGTTCGTCCATTTAGATCCAGGAGTAGTTGAAAGTTTCAGCTGTAGGTTACCAAGCTTTAATCTACTGTGCTAGAGACGTTTTGCAACTGACGACTTCTTCTTTTCCATCTTTTTATAAGCAAATTAAAAGAGTAGATCTAATAATGAACCATTAACTTACTCATTGTTCGGTGATAGATTGTATGGTACCTGCACCTTTACGTTATCAGCCTAACAATAAACCACAATTGTTGCTATGGTTAATTTTGTACATCTTTTTATAAGCAAATTAAAAGAGTAGGTCTAATAATGAACCATTAACTTGCTCATTGTTCGGTGATAGATTGTATGGTACCTGCACCTTTACGTTATCAGCCTAACAATAAACCACAATTGTTGCTATGGTTAATTTTGTACATGATCAGGTTAACAATTACACAACAAAGTAAGTAATTTTGGAACCATGAATTTATGGACCCATGAAATTTACAGCAATATGTTGTTAGGTTTTTGTTTTTATAAACATAATTTTATGACACGTTGTAACTAAAATATTGTTAATATATTTCTTTGAGTATAGGTAGTTTAAGTAACCTATTAAAAGCTTATTTGACTTTCTACAAGTTTCATTCATGTTGTACTTTTAAAGATTTTGTGAATTTTCTTGCAGATCCAGCAGTGAAGGATCATCAGACAAGATTCGAACAAATTACAGGACACGCTAATTCTCCCCCACCTATAACATCAGGTACCATTATGTTATCAGCTTAACAACAAACCACAGTTAATAGTCTGTATAATCACCTAAGCCCGATCTTGCCGTCAGCACTTCATAAACTCATACATTTATGAATTCAGAGATGATAAAACACAGTACAAGTAATTTTTCTTCATATACAACATCAGGTTTATGTTATTATTTAACAATAAAAAAACAAGTGTTTGTTTTGTCAGAAGAGGGAAAATACTGTACTTAATGAAGAATCCTGTACACATTTAAAAGTAGTGTATTCTGCTAATGTTCATTAAGTTAGTATTCTCAACAAACTATTTCACAAGAAAAGCTCATTTCCAATACGGTACTTCCTTCTTCTCACAAGATTATCAATTCTCGTTCATTGCTGCCCTCTGTATGTGAACTTTTTCTATACACATGTCACAAGCCTTCTGCTCCCCCACCATTGGAATCAAGTGATTCCAACGTGTGTCTCATGTAAATCATCATGTGTCACTTCCACCAGTAGGAGCATAGTATATTCACATGATGCATGTGACTCCCTCTATGTGCCTCTAACAGACTATCATTTCTTGTTTGACAGTGCTTGTGTTTGGACGTGTTTTTTTTGCCTTGATTTAATCAGTTTGAGATACAGTTTCTTCTCAGAGTGGTTATATTTTATAAATTTCCCAGTTTTCTTTCAAATTACCTTAACCCTGTCGCCCCGGGTATACTTTACTGCGCATGACACAAAGCTTTAGCGTCTTACATTCAGAATTTTATTAAACTACTTTTGTTTATGTTATACCAATTAAAATAGCATAAAATCGTAGCTAATAATACATATTTTACTAGTATACAAGTTTTAGGTTCTTAATTCTACAAAGAAATATTTTTAAAAAATTATAAAAATCTAGTGTGACCCATGTGACACATTTTGTCTTAGCATGTCATCATCCCTGTTTTATCCATCACCCCTAGAAAATGTACGAAATTAAACGTAAAATACTCTATAAAATCGTTATTGCTCAAAGAAACCACCATAATTTTTGTAGTATTCAGTTTTGTTTGGTTAGAGCTATCGAATAGAAAATCAGACCCCTCCTGCTACACTCACCTGTCGCATCCTCTCTTTCACAATTTGTTGATAGTTCTCTCTTACCTTTCATTATATATTACCTATAACCAATAGAAATCAAAGGATTTCATCTATCAAATGACATATTGTATAACGTATTTTGAACACAATATTGTCAATTTCACTCAGAGCACAAGATTCGTTCCTGTGGGAAAGTTAAGGACTAGCTTGGATGAATTTGTAACGGCTCTTGTCGCATAGTTAGAAAGCCAGGAAATTTTTTAGAAGTAAGTGAATTTGTATACTTTTTGCATGTTATTAGTCTATATTCGTCGATGCATTATTTGATTAAATAAAAATTGTTAAGCGCTTTACTATAATTACTATAAATAATCAGGCTTAACTCTCATCTACAGTCGAGGGCAAGAAAAAAGAAGATTGGGTAAATACTTTATTTCTTGGTTTTCATATTTATTCTTTATTTATTAACTAAAGTAACTAAAATGTGAAAATATGGATCTTTCTAAGTTATATAAGAATAGATTAGGTAAAATAAGTAATAATAATAATAATATAAATAAAATGTTTCATGAGGCACGAATACTAGCAGCTCGTGGGTAATGTAATTCGATAGCGTAACGTGAGCTTCACGTTCCCCTAGTGATTTAAAGTTTATAATGATGCGGATAATAGTTAGACAAGGTTCAAAGGGCAATAAAACAATAAAATTTATTATAAATAGATGTATAATGTTACAAACTTAGAGCTACTTAGAATAAACGAATATAGTTTCATGTTGCAATTTGAAGTCATTCTAGAAAGAAAAAAGGTTAATTTAGGTTTATTTAAATTTTTTTTTTGGTGGTTATGAGGTCAGTTGAATTTACTGATCCAATTTTGAGATAGGGTAGAGAAAACAGTAGATAACTAATAAGGTTTTACTGAAAAAAAACGTTTGAAATGCATTTAGGAGGTTTTAGGGATTACACAAAGGAAATTTGAGATGGCGAAAAGTATTTTTAATTTTAACATGAAAATTACTTTGCACATGGACTATTCAAAACAAATACTCAATATACCCATGGACAAATCTTTATTTTAATTTTTTAAAAATACTTCACTAAAAAATAAGAATTTTTGTATGTAAAAGACTTGTAATATTACCTGAAA